AAAAGAAGGGAGTTCCACATTATGCCACCATTTAGCTAAGGACGGGGTTTGATCATTTGTGCGAATCGACGAATCAACGGCCCATCGCTACCCCGCACCCCCAGGAGACCCCCCTGAATCCGTCTATGTATTTAAGTGTATGTATTGCAGGTTCCAGAGGAATATCTAACGAATTCGTCGATTCGCGATAAGTTGCCACACATCAAGCTTAACAAGATGTCTGAGGATGTGCTGTTCTACCTCTTTTACAATTGCCCGGGCGAAGTATATCAAGTTGCCGCTGCAAATGAACTGTATGTTTTGCTTATTTTCACGTATTAACTGCTTTGAGGGAGAGGGTAGGGGAGGAGGGAGTGGCAGGAAGGGGGTTGCACAACCTTGGAACTTTTTTACTTTCTGTGTCCTAGATTTTCAAGGTAATTGAATTTTTGCGATGTTTTTAGCTTCTGAAGCGGTGGGGTTGCTTTTGCGGGGTAATGATGTTTTTTATAAAATATTAGGAATTGGTTTGTGGTAGAAGTACTTTATGTTTTCAGGTACAGTCGAGATTGGCGGTACCACAAAAGTTTGGGCGTTTGGCTGACCCGATCACAGTATGGAGGTGTCAAAGAACATACAGCAACATATGAAAAAGGATCCTATAACGTCTTTGATCCTGTGCAGTGGCGGAAAGTAGGCTTTTTTTTTGAACTGGTTTTTTTTTAGTTTTTACTGGTAATTCAAATTTTTACCTTAAAATGCACATAATTTAGAGCTGTATAACGCCTTTGTTGAAAGATGTCTGTCCTGGAATTCTGTTCTGCCTAGTTCCGTACTGAAATGAACGATGATTTGGTAACTACGAAACAGTCGAGCGCAATAACCCCCTCCGTATTCGATCTGTGTGAGAGACAGAAGCACTTAGAAGTAGCTTGGGTGGAATTGGGCAGAATTCACTGGCTGAAAATGCTTTCAGTGGTTTCTTTTTCAAGGCCGCTTAAAGGCAGATATCGGGAACAGAGATGTGGAACTGGATGTTTTGTGTTTCAGTGAACACGTCGGTGGAAGCAGTCTATGTTTCATCCCTTAGCTTTAAGCTCATACGAAGCTTCACACGCGGATAGGAGTTGTAGTTACCAGTACAGCCTTTTTTTACTTACCGTGTAAAGAATAAGAATATTTTTGAATTGTGGTTATGGCGGTTTTGGCTGTCGTGGCACAAGCCAGCATGAGTTTTGTTGCAAAAGGAACAAGGTGTTAACAGCAAGGAAAAGAAACCGCCGGCTAAACCCCGTTGGCTTGCCCAGTTGCCCTTCGATTCCATGTGATATGCAAATGTCCCGTCTCCTGACTTCGTTTGGAGTTTAAATATTTTCCAAACTAATGAATGAATCGTAGAGGGATTGGTTGTCTCACTGGGTAGAGTCGAACCGTCGAAGCATTTTGCATGACAGAGGTGCTGCTCCCAACTCTGCTATGTCAACTATCATAAAAGTAATTGCGGAATTTAAATTTCAGATCCCGAAAGATATGACGCTTGAGTACAAAGAACTTGAGGAACGGCCAAAATTGCCTCAG